GCCCCCGTGGGACCCTTGTCCGATTTGCCGTGGGGTCCCCGGGTTTTGTTGGCTTGGGTTAAAGCGAGGTTGACCGCATCCGAGCCGTGCCCGGGGAGGTGGGGGTAAGGGAACGGCACGCCGGGGCCTTTGGAGACTTTGCTGACTTTGGGTTGGTGCTCGTGGGCCGCGCTCGCGGCCTCCTCCGACAAGGGCCTCTTGCGGGCAGCGATGAGGGGGCCGTAGGTTTTGTGGGGCACGGCGCTAGGCTGGCTGCTGTGTTTAGAGTCTCCCGGCCGCTTGTTCGCCACGGGGTTGGGGACGGCGGCGAGCTGGGCGTGTAAGTGTTTGTGAGAGTGGTGGTTGTGGTGGTGGTGGTGATGGTTCGAGATGTGGACCTTGTGTTTCTCCTTGTGTTCCCGGTTCTTGGCACTGCTCTCCTCCGAGGAGCCGTGCCTGTCTGCAGCAGTTGGCACCTTGATCCGCATTTTTATCTCCTCCTGCTTGGAGGGGAGCAGTGGTCTGTCTCCACCTGCCATCGGGATCCTCAGCTTCAGAGCCGAGGCTTTGTCACTCTTCTCAGGGCCGGGAGGGTTCTCCGAGCCACCCATGGGAATTTTCAGGACGATCGGAGAAGGGTTGCTGTCCTGCTGGACTTCCCTCTCCCGCTGCTGTTGGACCAGGAGATTCTGCGCGGCGTAAGCGTATTGGGATCGCACGTTGGCTTCCATGTTCTCCAGCTGCCGAGCTCCTCGGCGTGCTTGGCCCGGTATTCCTTGAGCGACACTTTGGCCGACGGGGCGTTCTTGACACTCTGCTTCTGATAACCAGCGCCATCTTGCTGTAAGGGATGCTCAGCAGCCGAAGAGCTTTCGTTAGTCCTGTGGCTCTGGCCGGTATCCAGCCTGGCTGGAGGATGCCAGTGGTCAGGCATATCCCCGCTGCTGTGGTCACCGGGTGAATCCACCGTGGCCTGCAGAGACGGCCCCGCTCCGGCGGTGGAGGATGTCGACATGCTCATTAACCCGGCGATGTTCATGTCCGAGCTATTGTTCCTGGAAATCATGTTGAGGATAGTCTGCTCCGACAGGCTGTCATCTTCACCCTGCTCGTCGGCCTTTGACTTCCTGGCTGCCTGAGAGGCCTGGAAGAAAAGCAGCGAGCGGTCGTTCACTCTGGGCTGTCACCGGAGCTGGTGTGACGCGACCCGCTCACCCGGCGCAGCGCGAGCTCTCATCTGATCCCCCCCGCCCTCCCTGTGGGAAAGGACCCAACCGGTGCAAGCTGGAGCAGTTGGAAAACCAAGGTCTCCAGAGTTAACCAGGAACAGACGGACTCGAGCGCCAAAATTTGCAGCTGCCGAGCGTTCGGATTTCCCCCCACTCAGGTGCCCTGCCTCGTGCTGTCATCCCGGGGATGCTGCATGCACGCACAAGACATCAGAGCCCGTGTTCAGCCAGCACCCATGGTACAAAGCCAATTCTTACCCGCCAGTTCCGGATGCGTTTAAGCCGGTTGGGAGTTTTCTCCAGGATCTGTAGGAATTCGTGAGTCAGTTCTGTGGAGAAAACACAACCCCAGGCAGGAGGGTCAGTGGTGGGCAGAGCAGCACTAATCCATCAGGGCAAACCCCTACTTCCTGAGCTACTGATGAGATGGAGCTACTCTGAGAGGGGAAATACTGAGAACTGGGATCACTGATCACATTTAAACTCATCTCGCTGCTGCCTTTTGCCATCTCTTGTACCATAAAAGCTGCTGCTACACTGGAAACTTTGGCAAGACCTGGAGTCCCGGAGTCCCTGAACTGGCCGTCGGCCACGTTTGAAGGGCAGACCCAGGAACAGAGATGCTAAAATAACATAAGAGCCTTTTTTTGGGGGGTGATGAACCTCGCCCCAAAACTTACCATCTAAGAGCTCCAGAGTTACAGTGCCATCAACGTATTCCCACCAGTGCTTCCCGTCCGTGGAGACTGGGATCTCCCAGTTGGACCACTTACAAGCCAGGTGGATACAGACGCAGGCCACAACGGGAGGGGTGTACTGCAGGCTGAAGGTGGTCAGGTGCAGGCTGATGTCGCCAGCAGGGAGAGAGAAACAGAAAGCCATCAACTCCCACGCTTGTACTTCAGCACTCACAATCGCCCACTGAACAGACGCTGTGCGAGAGGCGGACGTGGTGGGGAAGTCCCTGCCATTCCTCCCCCAGTACAACCCTACTGTTACAGGCGTCTCTATCCCTCTCCACCGATTTGCTTCCCCCTTCTGCTGCAGGTGATTTGGATCCGGGCAATTCTGTGGCTCGTGCGGAAGCGCTGGGGCCTCCTCCGAGGGAGAGAGCGAGCAGCTGGGTTACCTGCCGGCCCCCAACTCCTCTGCGGGCTCTGCTCAGCCTGAGAAACTCGGCCACTTCCAAGTGCAACTCCTGGGATGGCATTCAAGGAGCAAACTGGCCCTTTTTGGCATTTAGGAAGGGTGTGGTCTTTCCCAAGGGATATATTTTAGGAAAAGTACTGAAACTTCAGGCTGTGAGTGGCACCATGTGCTGGAGGGACTCAGGAGCACCTAAAAGGGGACCTTAACGAGCATTTTCATCAGAACATTAATTTGCTGCGCGACAGCTCGGACACAAGTGCCGGGAGGCGCAAGCACCGGGAACAGGAACTGGTGGACTAAGCATCCTGCTCCCTTCCTGCGGGAACACCAGGCCCACCAAGCCTTAGAAACCGTGAGAGCACGGTGGGTGCGCTGTCACCCCCGGGAATCGGCCCTTTCGAAGGGCACCTGGTGGAAGGGGTGCCTCTACATGCAGCCGCAGGATGGGAGTGTCTGCTTTTCCTTCCCCCACGCTCGGGCTACTAAACGCTTTTCCATGGACACAGCGTGGCGAGACAGAGGGATGCATCGACGGCCACGGAGCCTGAAGCTCGGATACTGTATTTATCCATGTGTCAGTAAGTCAAACCCAGGACATTCAGAGCCTTTATCCGGTCTGCCAAGGGAAGAAGGGGCACAGAGAGCCCCAACTCTGCACCATCACGATGCCAGCAGGAAGCAAACACCCATAACTACGCCCGATACATCGAGCTCAGCACTTCAGCACCTCAATCAGGCACTCCACAGCACCACTTTAAGGCAAAAATTGAGGCTGCCTGGCTGCATTCCTTACTTTGTGCCTGGATTTCTTTCAGTTATAACCCAAACTCCCAATTCTTTGGTTTTGCAATTACAGCTGCAGGGATAAAACACGTTTCAAGGATGTGCTCACCCAGACGTCACGAACACAGCCTTCCCCTGCTGCCAGTTGATGCGGGAAACCCACACGGTGCCCTCTGGAGCCAGAGAGCGCCTCCAACAAACAGCCCTCCCGGCATGCCGTGGAGGGGAGCGGGTAACACCTCTCGCGGGCAGGGAGGAAACGGCTCGCCCAAGGCCACGCACATTCCTGACTCGGAGGTGTTCCCGGACTCTGCAGCTGCACCCGTGCTAGTGCCTAAACCCAACTTTTCCCTCCCACCCTTTCACTTCTGTCGGCTCTTTCACAAAACCCACAAGATTTTCTGCGTCCACAACTCTGTCTGTTCCAAATATGAACTCTGCGATTGGCCTGAAGCTGGTAATCCGGGCAATTAACTGGTTTTTAAAAGGTCAGAAGTCCCAATACAAGGGCTGGCACCTGCCGTGCAATGAAGAACTACTGATGGAACCACTCAGACCTCCCAAGGCCAAGAGGACAGGGGCTTTTGTAGCTTCCAAGTCAAGCAGGCCAGCCAAGGCTACGGCCTTCTCCCGCGGCGCCTCATGCCTGCATCCAACTCCCCTTTTTCTCCCCTTACCCCCTCCATCAGCCTCCCCTGGGGTACAGACCGTGGATTTTGACCATTTGCACAGCACCTAATTCAGGGAAAACTCCCATCTAGGCGCTAAGTAAAACCGTGTATATTCACTCCAAGCCTACCTTGTGGTTTGGGATTTTTAAGCTTTCCCCAGTGTCTAACTCCCCAGAAAAGCAAGCAGTGAAGCTCCTGAGCATCCCATCCGCCTCGCTCAAATGGCCAATTCCGCAGCTGGTTTTAACCAGCAACTGGCAGGAGAAAGGGTTCCCGCTCTTTCTGAACCCCAGTCGCTCGCAGGCTTCCCCGCCACCTTGGGGCTCGCACATCTCCTCCGGATAAAACCCCTCTGTCAAATACGAAGCGATTGTAAAATAATAACCTGTTGGTAGCCATGAAATAGGAAGTCTGCGCCAAGTCCTTGCTGGCTGGAAGAGAAAAGGAAAAAGCAGGACATCAGGCTGTGTATCCCGACAGGTATTATTACGTTCTAGCACAAGAGCCGCCACGGGAGCCACCCAGCAAGGTTCGACGAGCTACGCCACAGCCGGGACTTTAGAAACCACTGTACACGGAGAGCTCTGCGTGGGCAACATCGCAGCAGCCACCTACAACCGATTCTACTGCGAGTTGTTAGGGTTATTAAGGAGGCTGGCTGCAGGCGAGTTCCCCAGCAGTCCCGACCGAACACTACAATGTGTTTTCCCAGCTTTCTCCACCGAGCTCGGATCACGCGGAGGCGAAGCCGCAAGCGCCCGGCGTCCGACACCGCTTACCTCGCACTAGCTGCGTGCACTTCACCACGTGGGTGTGGGGGTGGTCAATCGTGATCTCAAAACCTGGAAGAACACAGAGACATACGGCCATCAGAAAGCCAGCAGTGCACCCCCTCACGGATCTATGAACCTCACGTTTCCCGCTCCTGGGGGACAAGGCCTTCTCCCCTTCCCTCCTACAGCCCCTGCTCTCTGCTCGGAGGCAAGCAGGAATAGAGGAGCCCGATTTCCTGTATCCAGAAGACTCAAGTTCTCCAGTCACAAAACCCGAAGGTCACTGCTGCTGCCAGACCTCCAAGCAGCTAAATGACTTCTGCGCTCGAAAAGACCTCACTGAAAACAAAACAACTATTAAGGATTCTTAAAAATAGCAGGACAAAGCCTCTTACAGCAGCTGGGAGGAAGGAGAAGACAATGGCATCTGCTCAAAGGAATTTTTGTCACCCAAAAAGCTAAGAGGAAGCAGACGTTTTCCCTTTGAAGGAGCCTACAGCATTGAACTTCATCCTCGCTCCAGTTTCCTACTCAGTTGGGGCATTATGTTTTAAAGCTAAAACAAAAAGCGACCCAAACTCAAATCAGCCCATATGTGCAACAGATTCGATCCTTCCCATTCAAAACGTTCTAGAAAGGGCAACTGGAGACCGGAGACGCTGCAGAACCGGGGTCACAATTGAGCCGCTGGCTCGCCAGGCCGGCACGACCCACTGACACACGTTCCCCTCCCGAGTGAGGGATTAGTAGCGTTTACTCTCAACCACGTATTTTGGAGTGGGACTCTACCTACAGACTGCCTCTGAAATGGAACATTTGTTAGTAAAACCACATTTTAACAGTACATTTTAGAAAGGAGCAGGGTACTGGATCCAACAGCCACCTCCCTAGACATAGGCTCCAGCTTCTACTTTGAAAAAAAGCCCAAAAACTCACTTTATTTTATTTTTTTACCCCCATATTCAGCTATCTGAGCGAAATATTAACTTTTAACCCAGGTTTCATTAGCCATCTCTCAGTGCCAACTGCTTCCTGGCCACAGAACTAAAGCACTCTGGAGTACAGCAGCACAACAGCGGACGGCAACCGGTGTCCGAGCAGTACAAAACCTGTCAGGGGGTGAGGGGGGGATTAAAAAAAAAAAAAAAAAAAAAAAAAGCCCAAGCCACACTTTCATTTCTCTGAGCATTGAACCTGACACCAGTTACACCTGAAAAAACTGATGTTAAAAGGGAAACGCAAGGAGTGGGTGTGGAAAAAAGAAAAACAAAAAACAAAACCCACAAACTCTACGAGTTTGTTGCCTGGACTCTTGTTTTCCCACTGGCCAGCTGTGCATCTGCCCTTCAGCTGTGGAGAAGACACTGCGGTTAGGCTCTCCGCTCTGCGGAACACTCCTGGGTCTGGGATTCGTGTGGCAGCCCGTCCGCTTTGAAAAACTTACCCAGGGTCTGCAGTATTATGCTCTCTAGAATGACCAGGTCTTGGGCTTGTTGCAGGTAAGCCTGGGGTTGAGAGGACAGGCAAGTTACTCACGATGAGGCACTCCGTATAAAGCCTGCACATTTCTAACACCCCTTTTCTCAGGGAGGCAAAAAGAGCAAAGGGGAATCTTTATGCCGATCTGCACCGGGGGAACTGGCACAGATTCCCTGCCAGAAAAGAGAAAGCAGAGTGCTGGGGTGGACCCGCTTCCCTGCTAGTGCTTCTGCTTCGGGATCCACAGTAGCCCTCTCAGTCCTGGTCCCTCGCACTGCACGGGACGGCTACAACGTGCAGTACACGAGAGGAATTAGCTGCTGGTTTGGTTTTTTCCCTTAAGCTTCCCTGGATAAAGCTGCCCCTTTTTTTCAGCAGGGTTGGCCACTCAGTTCCAGGTAAGACGGGCTGTCTCGAGAGATAGGGCAACATTTTTAATAAACCCACCGTTAAAAGGTGCGGGGACAGAACAGAACCAAACTGTGCACACCACCTTCTGCTCTGCCACAGGCACTACTCAATTGCCCAAAAAGCTCTCAGTGGTGTAAGAGAATTGGAAAGCTGTCACTGACCATCCTAGGACACAGCCGCTCAGCTTAGAGAGCGGGTACTGCCGACCCCGATTTAACGAGATGCTGTAGCCACGCGATTCAGGATGCAGTACACTTCTGCCATTCCCATTCCTCGTGCCTCCACTCCTCACGTCAGAGCACGGTTCTCCGATCGCCACACTTACCTCGCTCTTGGTTTCTAGAGGAGTTTCCTGGGGATGCAGACAGGCATGTGCTACCTTGATTACGTGCTCCAGCTTACGAGGCTGCTCCTCCACCTTGGCTGCCAGGAACACAGCTGCTGGTACCACCGACTTCAAGGAAAGAAAACATTATTTTCCTTAAAGTTAGTAAGTTTGACATTAAAGCAATTAAATTAGGCTCATTCTCACATCTAAAACAAGTATTCCTTTAAAAAACAAAGCCTGAGCAAATCTAAAAACACCACCAGAGGAAAAAAAGAGTCCCTGGTGACTACTGACAGCTACAACCCTCCCCAGACCCCCTCCCCAGGGTCAGTCCCACCGCGTCACCCCCAGGCTGTTTGCCAGGCGGCAGCAGCAGAGCTGGGGTGTCCCGGCGATCCCCCACCCCACCAGACCCCAGCACACTTACATTCCTGTGGAACTGGGTGAAGGACTGCACCATGTAGAAGCGGTGCATGTAGACGATGGCCGTGTTGATGGTGAGCTGAGAGCTAATGAAGTGGTTAAGGAAACACACAGCCTTAAACGACAACAGCCCCTGAGCAGCGCCCTCACATCCCCCCAGCACCCAGCCGGCTCTCGCTCTCCCTGTGGCCGAGATGCGCTGGGCTCTCCCCACTCCTAAAACGGGACCAGCTCTCCCCGCTGCCATCCTCACTCTCCCTGTGGGCAGCCCCGGGCTCTCCCATACGCCGGCGCAGTTCTCCTCCTTCCCAGCCTCACCCTCCCA